ACGAATAGATTGGAGCCTTGTCCCGATTTAAAAAAAAAAAAAAGAAGAAGAAGAAAAAAGGTCATGCCGCTCAGCGAGGGAGAAAAGCAAACATGGCAGAGGCAGTGCATTCGGGTGCTCGGAACCCGTTGCCTAATCAAATTCAGCTGGAAAGTTGTACATATTTTGCTCGTCGGAAACAGGAAATTCGAGGTGTGGAGGACATAGGTCGCAGCCAGCTAGTGAGAAAAACAAATGTGCCATTCGGCTGCTCGTTGGGGTACTGAAAACTCGTTCCCGGATCTAATGCAACTGGAAGCTAAACTCTTCTCTTTCCCTAGTAATCAAATGCAACTGGACACCGGCGTAGTCTTTCCCGAGAATTTCCTTAAATTTATGCCTTGCGGACAATCCAATGGTTATGCAACTGGAATCTACACTGTTTTCCACGCACAAGGCGCTACCACGACGCGACTTTCTTCATTCCAATCGGAATACAGAGATTGGAGATCAGCACGTTGAAGGTTGGTGAACTCCTTTCATGCCTTGCGGACAATCAAAGGGCCCCATTTCGGCTGAGGGCCCCATTTCAGCTGCAAGGGCCCGCTCGGCGCTTGCACTCTGTTCCTGGTAGAAATGCACGAACGCAAAAGTGAAACTGATCAAAGAAGGAAAGAAAACCATGCTCCTCACGGGCACCGTGCCGGGCCTGTCAAATGGATATCTGCTTACCAAGAATCGAGGGAAGTTCAGCTTCCTTTCTGGGATTGTCTGGGCTACATGTCTTCCATATTGACCCCTCTTAATGTGTTTCTTGGAGGGCCCGGGGCCGTTGCCTTGGGGCTCTGACTGGTGCCACTTCTTCCATATCAGCCTGTTGTCAGTTATGGTAGGGATGTTTCCCCGTAACAGCCAGCCTCTCAGCAATGCCTGTCTCTTGATTGTGTGCTTTCCTAGTCTGTGCTTCGATGCTGAGGTTATCTTTCGCCATCTGCTCAGGATTTCAGATTCAGCCTATGTATACGCCCGTACTAATACCGGCCCTTCGTACATTCGAACGGCCATACGAACGGGCCCCCGGGGGTTCGTACGTTCCATACGAACGGCCGTATGGGGGGAAAAGGAGGCCTTGGGGGGGGGGGTGACAAATGTCGGGGCTCATCCCCCAGACCAAAAAACAAAAAAAAAAAAACTTTTTTCTCTTCTTTGGTCAGGAAAAAAAAGAAAAAAAGATTGATTGATTGATTCAATTTGATTGATTGATTGAATGATTGATTGATTGATTGATTGACTGACTGCTTGATTGATTGATTGTGTAAACGGGGGAAAACAAATGGCGTTGAAAATTTCTTTTTTTTTATATTAATTCTATTTCATTGATTGATTGATGGATTGAATGGTGGTGGTGGGGGGTCACCCCCTCCCCTGACTGCACACACACACACACACACACACACGAACACACGAACACACGAACACACGCACACAGGCACACACGCACGCACACACGCACACCCTCGCACAAACACACAGACACACACGCACACACAAATGCGCACACACACACACMCWCRCACAMACASASWCACACACACACACACACACACRTGCACACACACACACACRCACACAGGCACAMACRCACACACGCACACACACACACACACRCRCRCACACACACACACACACACAGCACAGATACACACACGCGCACACAGACACACACACATGGCGTGCAGGGAGAGACAGAGAGACAGAGGGAGCGTGCACTCCCTCCAATTTTTATTTATTTATTTATTTTTAATCGAATCAATCAGTCAACCAAATTTTATTTCTACTTTTTGTTTGTTTTTCCCGTTTTTATGATTCTCATATTTTTTTAAATATAAAACAGACCAAAAAAAAAAAAAAAGATGGGGGAGCACAAAACGCTCTACAGGCCCATATATTTTTTATTTTATTGTTCTTTTTTTTTTTTAGGGGAGGTGGGTTGGCACTTCGTACGGGCCAGTACGAACGGCCGTACAACAGAATCCCCGTATGTCGTACGAGGTCGACACAGGATTCAGCCATGCTCAGTAGTAGAGACCACATTTCCTCTCTTGCCACCTCTTTTCTGTCGATTGTCCATATGCATATGCACTTCCATTTGACCCAGAGTGCCGACTTCCTGAGTAGTTTGAAGTTTGAACCAGATTTCTGTGCGGCCTTTGAGATTCCTGGAAGTGTTAGTGAGAAGTAAGGTAGTTAACGGGGAGGCGTTGGGAGGTGGTGAGGAGAAGAGGGTAGACCATAGCTCCAGGACCTTGTTCCAGGTGTGGAGAAGGTGGTGGGAGATCCAATGGCCGCTTCAGGGCAAAAGAGAATGCAGCGAGGAATACCTTCAGGTGCACTGTTGTTGCACAGAACACAGTGTTTGCTGAGCTATTTAGATCGGACTGTTTCCTCCTTTTGCGGAGGCACTGGTTAACGGGTAGGGCGGCGCGTGCCATGAGCCACTGCATAGGTCGGACTTTTACGGGTCTGATGAGGAGGTAATTAGTAGTCCGGGGCATGGTGACTGAGGTTGTGGAGCGGAGACTCAGGATATTTCTCCATAATTTCTCTATTAGCCCGGGGTTTGGATCTGTGGTCTGCACCCCGAGGTCATTACCGAATTTTACGTCGTGCTCGAAGATCCTTCTTGCTTTCCCGGGTTTGCTCTGTTTCCATATCCATATCCATTCCTTCGGGTCAAATTCCAAGTCTTCGATGCCGAGTTCTGGCTAAAAGATTATCCATGGTTTGGTCTCTGATACTCTTAACCTTCCTGAGTAGGAAGGTCTCTAGGAGATCAGCTTGGGGATCCATGCTCTGTGTCTCCGTTTCCTGAAGACTGTATGTCGAGATGATGGAGTATGATATGAACCTTGAAATTTTTGATTGGTAGTCGGAAGCTCCTGATCACGTGAGAAATTGGTGGGCTTTCAAGGGTGGGGTCTGAGAAATGTGTAGGCACCAATCGCCCGGTAGAAACAATGTCATTCCATTTACTGATTTTGCGGAATTTAGATTTTAAAACAAACTCATGAAAAATCCAAAAAAAAAGTATGTTGTACAAAATTGCAATACAAACAACTTTTGCTGGAGGATCTTGGCGAAATTCCCAACCGAATTCGAGGGAAGGGAAAAAAAAAACCATGGAGGTAACGTGGTCATGACTGCGGGTGACCGCGGGGTCAAACTCGGCGTGCGTTCGGGATCCCGACCGGCTTTAAAATTTCAAAAACTAAATTTCCTGAAGCAAAAGCTGTTTATTTTATTTTTTCGGTTTAGGGTTTACTATAAAACGTTTTTGTTTTTCTTATTTCAAATTTCGTTAAGTTTCTGGATATGACCATAAGGCAAAAGTTGTTCAGTTTATTTTTGTGCATAGCATATTTTGTTCCCAGCATTTTTCAAATTGTTTTTTTTTTTTGGTTTTCCCATGACCGCGGGGTCGCAGACATGGCTGCCTCCGCGGCCTCGACCGCGCCTGGCAGCGGCCGCGGGGGATACATAGTACTACAGGCTTCTGAAAAGTTGTACCCTAAAATTCGTTATATAACATACTTCTTTGTTTTCGAATACAACGTACCCCATACCCCGTACCCCGTACGTTGTATTCGTATACAAGGTACGTACCCTTTTTTCGGGTTAAGAACTTCAAGGTAGAAGGCAGCGCTTACACTGCGTCCGTGGGATGTACCAGCCTGCTGGTGCACCAAAACAAATACATCGAGGCAAAAAGGGCCATGCACGAGATTCGTTTTATGCACAACTTTTACCATCAAGTTGATGCTTTGTTGTGAACCTGCATGCCAGTACATCCAGCCAGCCAGAGTCCGCTAGAAGCAGCGCAAGCACTGACACATAGTAGAAAAATGGCTGGTAAAAGTACTGGACCAGTTCGTCTAAATTTGCGAGGGGGAGTTCCCTTCTTTTTTTTTTTCTTTTTTTTTTTTTTGAAAGTTGTCACTGTCTTTGTGATTAAGCTGGGAAACGGGCCCAGTGTCCCTTACAAAAGATAGCAGCAGGCCGAATTCCAGACCCGGCAACTCCAGCCGGATATAGGTCCGGACAGCAGGAATGTCTCTCCCGAGTAACAACATGATAGACAGACAGATACTTAAAACTTCTACCCTAACGTCTACCCTAGCCCATTATACCATCAGTCGTGAAGGGGAAAACTAACTATTTCAAGCTGTTTCGAGCTATTTCGAGCTATGAGTACAGTTAAAAGTAACATTCAAACGAGCAGAAGAAAACTAACAATCTTAAGGTACAAATACCGTTAAAACTAAACATTCATAGAACTAAACTTTCCATAGAAAAGGAAGAAACTTGTGAGGAGGGTGAAAGATTGTTTACCAAAATGAAAACTTTATGAGGAAACGATCGGGTCTCACAAGAAAAAGGATGAGAAAACCAGTGCCGGTCCTGACTGCTGTTGCACTGTAACTGTAACCAAATCTGAAAACTGTCTCCAGTGAGAAAGGAATGTGTTCATTGGTTTGGTGGGAGTTCCCTCCTAAGCTTGGTGAGTTGAACTCTTCCATTTTCTGTTTTTTTTTCCCTTCTTTTTAAACCACCAGTTCACAAGTTCACCAAGCTTCCTTCGAAGGCTAGCGAACCTCCGACTGCCCATTTTGATAGTGGCTTTCCATGTTCACTGTGGGCCCAGGCCTCAGCGTCATGCCCTTACCATATACACCAGTAGCAGCCCGACTTAGCATCAGGCACCATCACCAAAGACTCACCCAAGGGGCCAACTGTTTTGAACTCGATATGTTTTAAACCCATAGTAAACGGCCCCAGACTTCAAGTTGCTGAAAAGAAAACTCGTCGCCTACGGAATTTTCGGAGGCCCAGCGCAGTAGATAAATTGAATTGGTGGCGGCGCAGCCTCCGAAAATGGCCCGCGGCCGATAGCTGGATGTACTGGTGGTTTAGCACTCTCAATTGGTTTGCCTGTCTTTTGTTTGACGCCTGCAATCATGCAGATTTGCTAGCAAGGTGCAGCAGTGACGACAGCTACAATGACACGGCTCGCCTGCGCTTGATATGTAGCTACCGGAAGGATGACAACATGACAATGTCATGTGAATCTGGATTCAGCTTCAGCACGTCGCAGTGCTCTCCCGACTCCAAACCTAACGACAATGGACAATTCTGTGACAACTTGTTGGTCGACTACACACAAATACGTCTTAGGTAAGTGCCGTGATTGAGGATAATTACTTCTTCTTCTTCTTCTTCTTCTTCCTCCACCTCGTCCTGCACGTTTGAGTTAATATGGTGATGTACAGGCAGGTGCTTGTAGGAAGTTATTTGAGCTATCATGGTGATGTCCATGCAGGTGCTTGTATAGACTTATTTGTAAGGGTGGACTTGCAGGTTGCAGCCATTGGCATTGCTACTTTACTGAAGTTTCTTCCATTCTTCTTCTTCTTCTTCTTCTTCTTCTTCTTCTTCTTGTGCTGCTGCTGCTGCTCTCGTGCTTCTTCTGTCCCTCCTTCTCCTCTTTCTTCTTCCTCCTCCACCTCCTCCCTCTACGGAGTCTAATTATCCCACTTCCTCTCTCTCTCTCTCTCTCTCTCTCTCTCTCTCTCTCTCTCTCTCCCGCCCCGCCCCCCCCCCCCCCCACACACACAAACACACACAGACCAGCACATACATCGCGAATTGTCAGGTAGCCAGCAGGCTAATAATGTATTTATCATATCCACTACACAGGCATTGACAATTGAGTTGGCTGATGATCGGAACTGGACATTCTCAACTTCCATATATTAAAAAAAAAGGAGAAACAAACAAAAACGTTCAGCATGCGAATACTGCAAATTGCAAGAGTATGGGGTGCAGGTTGAAGTTGAGCACATATCAATTGAAAAAAAAAAAAAAAGAAGTAGAGGAATTCCTGTTGAACGTGGAGAGACAAACTTAGTCTGTGAAGTGACAAATGAAACGCTTTTCACCTTAACCGGCGACAGGCGCAGATCCCGGGGCTCGATCCCTAGATCGGTCCCTACCCGTGTACAGTACCCATTGACCCTGTGTGTGTTTGAACCCGTTGCCGGGCGGCCGCAGACCAGTCGGCCACCCGAAATACAAGGAATTCGTCCCTCAACCGAATGCCCGGTTAAGATTCGTCGGGTACTCTTGTCGGGACCGTCAGGGAAAATTAGGGGTCGTCAGAGGAACTCTAAAATCCCCTGTGTCGACCGCAGGAACTAACCCTTTCACTTAATAAGATGAACGGCCGCCTTTACCGCGCCTGACAACTAGCTTTTTCGTCTGTTCTGAGACTGTCTTTGGGTTGGCCAGCCATGACGCGAAGGAATGCTTGTAGGCCTTCGCGCGGCTTTTTTCACGCTGACCAGTTGGCGAGAGGACGAGCCTCCAATTTTATTTTATTTAATGGTGGAATTAAAAATCACCAGTAAAATTGAAAACGGAAAAAGGAATTGAAAAATAAATAATTAAATGATTATTTAACATTTTCTATCCAATCACGGTCTCAATGATTTAAACCTGAATTTATCTATTTATTTGTCCTTATTGATTTTAACGGATTTCCTCTATTTATTAAAATTTACCGGATTTTCCCTAATTATTACCCTTGTCATAAACCGGGGGTATTGAGTGTGCGATCTCCGTATCCTCCTGATTTCCTATGGCATGCTGAGTGACCTGTGCTATCGACTATTAATTATTCAGACACCTTCTGTGGGATGTATCTTGGTTACATCGGCAGCCGGGACAGTGGGACTGATTTTCTGGTTGCAACCGCCGCTTCTGATTGGTAAGGATACTGGTCCGGTTCTGGCACGACACATCTTTTGTTTGGTTCGGTATTTGGTCTGGGTGGGGACCCTTACGGCCTACCACGGTTGATGGCATTATTCTCATATAGTCGTCACCTTGCCGCAGTTATTGCTTTGACATTAGGACGGTTCACTGCGGTAGAGTATTATTATTCCTTGGTACAACATTGGGACCTGACGCCATAATTTTGATCTCCCGTTCAAGTACGGCCATTGGTTTGGCACAGGCATTGTAATGTAGGCAGCATACGGTGGTCTAGTCCTATTATTTGAGTAAGGTAACCGGTACGGTGTATGTACGGCACGCTGCATCTCGGCTTATTCATCTTCTTTTCTTCATCGGCTCGCCATTGGATGGACCGACTAAGGCTCCTCGCTGATAATCTGGAACGGATACTCGCCTGGAATACTTGGGCCGTTTGGTACGGCATTTGATCGGAGACCATAGACTTCGGCCCGGAACACCTATTTTGAGGCACGGTCATTGGAACGCCACGCTGCTGTTAAAACTTCAAATTCAGGAATGATGGTGACCTACGATTTTTTCCCGGTGGCGGCCAAGGCGGCGAAGTTCGCGGCCGCGGCCAGGTCCACGTCCCCGCGGACATGTCCGCGCGGCCACGCGACTTCGTGGCCGCATGGCGGCCAGTGGGGAGGGAGGTTGGGGATTCCGGAAGTCCCATGGGGCGGCGCAACCCCAGCCCCACCCCCTCGAAGGAAAAAAAATGCAGAAAGAACAATTTTGGGGGGGAAGGTTTGGGCGACTGAAGGTAAAAAGTGAAGACTGCCCGGCATAGACAGCATAAGCATGAGGACGACATCTGAATATACTCCAATGGAAAACGAGTCGTCGCGCACACCAAACCGGAGAACCGATTCTCAG